GAAAACAATAAGATTGGGGGATGATTTGCTGTTGGAAGGAAGGTTAGGGAGCAAGTGAAGCCAAGAAATTGGAATACTATTGTTGGTTGGCCCTAGTATGATTTGATAAAATCTGGCCCTACTTTTTTTTTTTAAATTGCTAATAGCATTAGGAAAAAAGTGACTATTACAAACTAGTTTGTGATAGATAACCTATCACAATCCTCCTTAAGCAAAGAAAGAAAGTAAGGAGGAATCTTATTACAATGTAGATCTTCCCCAAAAAATCTCCTAATAAAGCAAAATTAGCACAGAAATCGGCTAACTTATTACATTCCCTATGAGCAAAATGAAATAAAAAATTCCCAACGTCCTTCAAGAATAACAAGTCTTCAACCTACTTATTGTCCCATTTATTACAAGCTTTTCCCAAAGAATTTGGAAGATACTTAATTACATTATAATTATCTCCTTCAATAATATTCTCTTTAGCCTCAAATTTCCAATCTTGAAGAACAATCTTCAAAGCCCGGATAGCCAATAGCTCCAAAAAATCAATGTCCCAATGAATGCATTTGAACCCAAAGGCAAGTAGAAATTTGCCCTTATGATCTCTAAAAACTCCAGCAATTCCAGCTTCATTTGAGTTTAAAAGTGCCGCATCAAAGTTGCCTTTAATCCAATTGGGTGGAGGAGGGTACCAGGAAGAAATAGATAGCTTCGAAAGCTGATTAACACCCCAGTGGTCGGAGAAGATATTACAACTTGATGAAGAAAGAGAAATAACAATAGCACTTGAAGCCATATACCCCACACCGAGCTCTTTGCTGCCATGTATGACATTATTCCTATTCTTCCAAGAAAAATAAACAGCGGAACAATATAGATTAGCCATAAAAGGATTGGAATTTGTTAGCAGCTTCAGCTTCCTTATACAATTCAAGAAAGAAGAAAACTTTTGCAATTTGAATTCCCACTTATTGAGCAAATCTATCAATTGAATAAGCTTTTCACAGAATACCGCAACGTGTTCTATACTCTCTGCTGCAATACAACCCCTCAGGCAGTTGTTAACCTGCAGTAATGTTCTAAACATAAGAAAGTCACACGTTGGAATAACATTGTTTAACAATCTCCACCAAAAACATTCAACTCGTGGAGGAAACTTAATTAATTTCAACCATTTCCACTGAAAGCTTTCAGCAAAAACAGAGACATTCGCCTTATTAGGCATTGAAGCCAATGATTTGCCTGAAAACTTGAACATAAGCTCCATTGTATCAACTGCCTCCTCCTTTACGATCTGCACTTGTAAAATCAACTCGATCAGATTAGTTCCAAAATACTTAACAAGTCCCCTTGATACCATTCTCCTTCTTTACTGAAATTATCAAGAGAAGGAAAATCCTCCTCCATAACATTAATAAATGTAGGCCACATTGAAAGACTTATATTAAGAAGCCACACATCTCTTAAAGTATCAATAGAAGAACCAGAAGCTATCTTCCATTTAATCAAAGGCCGAAGAGATTGAGCTCCTTTCAACAAAATTTTCCAACTATCATTCCAGATATTATTCCCATATTTTGCTCTTAATGTTCTATAAAGCAATGAATTAGATTCATTAATGAATTCCCAAACAAATTTAGCCCTTAGTGGCCCAGCAATAGATACAGTTGAATGAATCCCCCTTCCTCTTTCCTCCCAAGGTTTGCGAAGGACATCCCAAGGTACATAAAGCATACTTAGAACATTTCTAGGTTTATTCCATATAAAATCTCTACACATCTTCTCCAATTTTTTCAAAATGCTGAGAGGAACCAATGAATGAGAAACATAAAAAATCGGAGTAGCAAGTATCATTGATTTGATCAAAACAAGCTTCCCAGGTAATGAGAAAAACTTGTTTCCCCATCCATTCATTCTACTAACTGTTTTCTCTAGAATAAAAAGATAATTTGAGGATAACAACCTTCTCATGCATAATTTGATACCCAAGTACTTCAATTCCTTTACTTCCTTATAATTAAATTTTTTGAAATGATCCTTCTCTTGGCTCGACCAACTGATTTCCCAAGACCATTGAAGTTTTATTTAAATTTACTGATTGACCGGTCCAATTGCAATAATCAGAAATAATCCTCCTTAACTTTCTCAAATACACGGATTTTGCCTCAGAGAACAACAGCACATCGTCCGCATATAGTAGGTGGGAAATCTTAGGAGCCGAGGCAGCCACCTTGATGCCCAAACCCTTACCATTATGAAAAAAAACTATTTGATAAAAGTTGGGAGCACAATATAAACAAATAAGGAGATAACGGTCATCCTTGTCTAAATCTGCTTTTGCTTCAATCCAATTTGATTTAGTGCTATTGAAAAGGATAGCGAATCTAGGATCTATAACACATTCCATCAAAAGATTTGAAAAACCCAATGGAAAACCAAAATGAGCCAACACTAGCTTCAAAGAAGTTCAAGACATACTATCATAGGATTATTCCATATCTATTTTTACAGCCACCATTCCTTTTTTAGATTTAGAAAATCTGAATTTATGAAATAATTCTTGCACCAAAAGGACATGTTCAGATAAGGATATTCCTTTTAAAAAAGCAGCTTGGGTCTCCAAAATCAGATTATTGATCCCTATAGCTAATCTATTTAATAAAATTTTTGCAATAATTTTATAAATAGACAAACATAAGCTTATAGGACAAAAGTGAGAAGGATCTACCGGGTTTTGGACCTTAGGAATAAGAACCACAAGTGTTTCTTTCCACTTAGAGCTCATAGTGCCCAAAGAAATGTAATGTAAAAAAGCCTTCCAGACGTCTTGTCCAATTAGTTTCCAATATGCTTTAATGAAGGAATCTGAAATTCCATTCACACCAGGAGAAATGTTTCTTCCAAGACTCATAATCACCTTTTCAATCTCTTCAAAGGAATAATCAACATTCAAAATTTTTGAATCTTCCAAACTTAAGGAATGAATAGGCTTCGGCCACCCATTTAACACACATCTCCTCTCACTCCATTTTTGAGAAAATAAATTGAGAAATGTTTCTTCTATAATATTCAGGTCTTCCACCATCTCACCAACTTCATTCTTCACTTGTTTTATAAAATTCCCATTCCTCCTACCATTAGCAAAAGCATGAAAAAATTTTGAGTTGATGTCGCCTTCTCCCAACCATTTGACCTTCACCCTTTGTCTCCACCAAGTGTTTAAACGAGCAAGAGTGACATTTAGATCCTATACTTTAGCTCTGAGTAACAAAAGAATATCATATGAATTGCCTTCAGCATTTGTCTCCACGGTTTGCAATTCAGCCACCTCATTTTTAAGCTTCTCCTTCAACTCCAAAAGATTTTGATGTTTAGCTCAACTCCAAAAGAATAGAGCCCTTAACATCCTATGAAATTTTTTATTCAACCTCTCCAAAGGATCACCTCTAACTAGCTTGCTCCAAGATTTCTGCACCACAGCAAAAGAAGCAGGGTATGACAACCATACATCTTCAAACCTAAGAATCTTGGTTTTATGAAATTCTTTATTAAAAATCTGTAATACAATAGGACAATCTGGCCCTACTACTAAAAGATTACTTTGAGGAAGAATTTTTTTATTAATTTTATCTATGCCGATAAGCTTATTTTTTGAGTTATCTCCAAAGGCGACACAGACTGCATTTTGTAGTTTAATAAAGAAAACTTCAAGTTGTTATTCGTCATGTATCTTATGCATTCACTATCCAAGTTTAAATGCTTGCACCAATCCCACCATGGAGTAAAATATTTTTAAAGTAAAATCTTTTTCCTGAATTTTTCTTTTTAATGCTTAAGATAATTTTTACCTTTGTTAAAAGAGGATGATTCATTTTTTTATATTAATTTTTACTTGAGCTCATAAAATTTCTTCTGAAAGTTTTCAAAAGGACATGCTTAGTTGATGATAAATTAATTGAGTGGTTGTTAGAGTACAAGAACTTATGTAAACAACTAGCATTCTCCTTGTCATGCCCACTAGCCTTAGCCCAATCATTCAAGTCAGATTTGTGATTTGTTCTTGTCCTTTCATTCCTAACTAAGGTTTGTCTTATGGCTTTAGCATTGTTTAGCAATTTGTTGCCAGCATCAACCCTTCTATCTTCCATTTGTTCTTGGAACATTATGTGGTTTTTTTAATGCTTTCTTTGGATTGAAGAAAAGGGAAGAAAATTAAATGAAATCCCAATTATTTGTGGGTTGATTATGAATCTATGGACTATGCTATTGATTTGAGCCTTTCAAACTTTTTTTTTTTACTTTCTTTTCGCTTAATTTCCTAAAATCTTAACAAAACCTACATGACTTGACATGCAAATAAAAAAAGAAAAAAAAAATTCTAGCGTGATCATCTAATATTAAATATTTATCCTAAATTATCAACAAAGAATAGATAATCCTACTTGTAATGACAGAATCAAAATATAGTACTGAACCATTTTAAAGTAAATGAACACATACCCAATCAATTGCGTTACATGTTTATAAATTATGCAGTTGGTGCTCTTAGATGAGTTGCATTTAAAAGTAAGTTAATTTTTATTTTCTTTGTGATTTGGACATCAAAGTTTTAGAACCCTCTTTGTTTGTTTTAAAAATACTTTTTATGCCATTGTTTTTTATTCTGTAGCTGTGGCTACTTCATTTGATTTGTTTGAAAATTAGAAATTCCAGCTAAGTTCTGATGCTAACAAAATCATGCATATATATATATATATGTATATAGAAATTTTCTTTTAGAATTCTTCTCAGTAGGTTTCTTTTGTTCTGGATGCCCTTTCTGCTATGAATATTACTTTTATTGTGATTATATGTTACCATACCAATTTTTTATAATTAATTCAACTTGAAACTAACCAACAATGCTAACCAAAAGGATTATATTCTATCCTTGCCTTTTCCTATCTGCAGGCCTTTAGTATGTTATCCGGAGTAGTTCACTTTATTATTGATTCTGGTGTATTTTGTCTTAGTTCGATCCTTTGGAACTGAAGGTCGCAAGGATGGTTCGCAAGTTCCTGCTAGTGATAAAATATATGAGTTCATACTCTTCCGTGGAAGTGACATCAAGGTACATGCTGAACTAGTAGCTCATCAGATTATTTTTTAGCCTGAATTTACTGCAAGTTGGTCAATAAACTGTTACATCTTATGGAAATTTTCATGAAATTCTATGCAGATTATAAATTTATAGGTATTACTGGAAGATTATTTTATTAATCTGATGTTATTTCTTTACTTGATTTAAATCTTAATTCAGCATGCTCCCTTTGTTTAGTTCTAACTCTTACAGATGGATCTTGATTTAGACAAGAGATATAGGAAGCCTATATCTCTTGATCACAATAGACACACAAGAAGAAAACTGACACAATGAGTAGAACTTAAAACAAACTTTATTAAATAAACGCAAACGACCCAAAACTTAACAAAAGATGCTAGGAGATTTTAAAGAAATAAAGAAATTTAAAAAGACGCTATCCTCAGACAACCGTCAGAGCGGGTTCCTCACATGCATCGAATTTGTAGGTTAAATAAGTAAAGTGCATAGAACTAGCAAACCGATGGTCCACCAC